GCTCACCAAGTATTGAACATGAGAAAGTAAAGCTTGTTGTAGCTTCTTGGCTCTTGATCTCGTTATGGGTCCTTGAGGCATGACAATGGTGCTTCCTTGGTTCACATCATCCTCCGTTTCTTGAGAAGGATTCGTCCTTGAATCATAGCCATCACCTACATCAAAAGGATTCAAATCAACAACATTAAAGGTTGCACTAACACCATACTCACCTGGTAAATCAATTTTATAAGCATTGTCATTGATGCACTCGAGAACTTGAAATGGACCATTTCCTCTAGGATTGAGCTTAGAATGTCGTTTGACGGGAAATCTTTCCTTTCGAGAGTGCACCCACACCCAATCTCTCGGGTTGAATATAAGATGCCTTTGTCCCTTATTAAATCTGGAAGCAATATCGGCATTTTGTTTCTCAATCCTCTCATTGACCTCCTTGTATAGCTTTTGAACGTATTCAACCTTAGCATTAGCATCAAAATTCACAAATTCAGTAGGTGGCAAAGGTAGCAAATCAAGAGGTGTTATAGGATTAAAGCCATAAACAATTTCAAAAGGAGTGCACTTAATAGTACTATGGACAGCCCTATTGTAAGCAAATTCAACAAATGGCAAACAATCCTCCCAAGATTTGATAGTTTTATCAATAACAGCCCTAAGCATAGTAATTAATGTCCTATTTACTCCCTCAGTTTGACCATCCGTTTGAGGGTGACATGTAGTAGAATAGACTAGCTTAGTACCTAACTTTCCCCATAAGACACGCCAAAAATGACTCAAGAATTTTACATCCCAATCACTAACAATGCTATAAGGAATGCCATGCAATCGAACAATCTCTCTAAAGAACAAATCCGCAATGTGTTTAGCATCATCAGTTTTGTGACATGGAATGAAATGAGCCATTTTACTAAATCTATCAACAACCACAAATATACTATCTCTACATTTCCTAGTCTTTGGTAAACCTAAGACACAATCCATTGATATATCCAACCAAGGAGCAATTGGAATGGACAAAGGAGAATATAAGCCATGCGGTTTAAGTCTAGATTTAGCTTGCCTACATTAAATGCAATGCTCACAAACTTTATGAATGTCATGTCTCATCCTAGGCCAATAAAAATGCTCAGAAAGCATGTCACATGTTTTTGCTACTCCAAAATGCCCCATTAATTCTCCTCCATGACCTTCTTTAACAAGCAATTCACGAATAGAGCAAGTTGGAATGTACAACTTACCTTTCTTAAAAAGAAATTCATCAAACAAGTTGTACTCATCCAAAACAGTACCATTTTCAAGAGAATAAAAAATAGAACCAAAAGAAGGATCATCATGGTACAAGGTTTTAATATGCTCAAATCCAAGTAGTTTAGCATTCAAAGTGTTAAAAAGAGCATACCTTCGAGACAAAGCATCAGCAACTACATTCTATTTACCTTGTTTATACTTAATGACATAAGGAAATGTCTCAATGAACTACACTCACTTAGCATGGCGACGATTTAGCTTATCTTGACCTCTTAAGTGTTTTAAACTTTCATGATCAGTATGGATAACAAACTCTTTAGGCCAAAGATAATGTTGCCATGTTTGTAATGCACGAACCAAAGCATAAAGTTCTTTGTCATAAGTGGGATACTTCAAAGAAGCATCATTCAACTTCTCACTAAAGAACATTAAAGGTCTT